CGCTCAGCCAGTGAGCGGGAACCAGTCTGTATGTGGGATCCAAACCCTCGGCAGGAGTGCCTCCGCGCTCCGAAGCGGCGCACTGTAGCAGTGCGCCACCGGGCCGGCCCCCCAACATATCATTTTTTACTTCTTTTAAAAAGGCATCCACAAGCCTTCTGGGGCCTGGTACTATTCTGTGTGGAATCACATGGGAAATATGGAGAAAAGGAGTTGGAGTTGATCATTTGCAAAAGGGCAGCAAGTCCTGGGATTCATAAAATCTTTGCTCAAAATGTTAAATGGATTTAACAGAAAACTGAATCAATCATTTATGTTTAAATGGTGTATGGTGAAGTTGGTTTCTTGTATTGGGTTGTTTTAATATTTGGTGTTCCTTTGACTGTAAAGTGAAACACTTAAAATAAAAGTACATTTTTTAAAAAGTGGGGGTGTGGGGGAGACTCTCTGTCCTCACAGCACAGATAAGATGTGATATATATTGACAGCACTCAAAATGTCTCCAAGACCTTTGCTGCATAGGTCCTACCGAGATTTTCTAGAATCATTCAAAGGTGCCCTCAGGTCCATAAATCCCTGTTTGCAGCAAAAAGATACATACGTGGGGTTGAGGAGTGGAATGCAACGAAGTCCTTCTCCACATGGGTCAAGGAAATAGCATCTTTCTGCAGGTTCCTTAGTGACTGTGTAGAGCTGTCTGCTGAGATTGCTGGAGAGGCCCAGGCATATGCATTCCCAACATTTTCTGTGGAGACATCAATTTTCCACACACTGCTGTGCCTTCCTCAGTATGACCACCACAGTTGACCACCTTGTTCTTTTTGAATTTCATTCTAACTAGTTTCATACAACACACACCCACACCCCCCAACAAACACACACTTTTCCTTCTCTGTAGTGTTACCGAGCAATGTGCCAATTAATAGTGACAGCAATGTCTCAATACATAGTGACAATATTATAAAACTGGAAAAACCCATTTTCTAAGAAGAGCAAAGAAGTTAAACCCTTACCCACATGATTTCAAAGCACAGTTACGAGTTTTTAGCTAAATTATTTTTTGCTTAAAAAACAACCTCCCAATACACAGGCAATTGGAAATTGGGGGGAAAAAAAGAAAAGTTTGACTGCAATCTCCCAAACTCCCTCAACTCCCAACTCTTTTCCCTTTCAATAATGTATGGGAAAACCAGATAATGTCAAAATATCTGTAAAATATTTACAAGTCAAGATATCATATCCACTCCAAGGTTTGAGTATTTCTGTTTAATTTGATTTAGGGATTCTCGTGATCTCCTTCATACTTACCCTGGATTAAATTGTATAGAAATTTCTCAGCTGACCAGAACATATCTCATGATACCATCCTGCAGATGGATTTTTCTCATCATTCAATTTAGTTTATTTGAGCTGGATGTGGTCTAATATAGTTTCCCCTAGATATAAAACATTCATCACAATCCTCTGCAAACACCCTCCTAGCTTTTAGATCTTGCATTTCAGAACTCACCGCCTCTGCAGGCCTGAACAATGATGACCTTGGGTTTGTTTATTAGACTGACACAGTTGCAACTGTTGAATATCTGGAAGATGGTGTCATAAGGTAGTACATCTGGGGTTTTGTCACTATGCTTAGTTCCACAGATTCCTTCCAGGGTGCCATGAGACATGAACACCAAGAATGTGCTGTCTGAGGAGTTGTGTTCTGGTCGGGTGGCAAATGTCTCCAGCTCTGACACCATATCCTGAAAAAGACCAATGTCTTAATTCAATAGGACAGGGATTAAATTTAATCTGACCTCTAGATTTACCATGAGCAGTATGAGAAATCTATGGAACATTCTGATCACAGTGCCTTCACATAGTGGTTACTCAATGATGATGGTTGTTTTATTTTTTCTTCTTAATGGGGCAATGCTTTCAACTTTCTGCTGCTGCTGACATACTGTTAACTGATTATATTGTATATTTAGTGATGTCACTCATACTACTTTTTCCTTTCCACCTCTATCTTTTCTCTCCTTACCTAACAAGAGTCTTGTATTATAAAAGCAGCACACCACTACAATCACACACCTGGCCTGTGTGTACCCCACCCTCTGCTGCGCTTCCTTTTCCTTTAAACTCGAGTCACAGTCACACTGGTCTTCTCTCTGTGCCTCTCATGAGCAGTTTTATTTTCAGATTAGCCTTTCATGTGTCTCTTTCTTTACTTGGAAGGCAGTTCACTCACATCTCTCCAGAGCCACCCCGTTTCCGGTAGTCACATCTGTGCATGTGTTTTACCTCCTCACAGGGCTTTTCTGGACCATTGCCTTCCACCTGTCAGGCAGGTCTCTCCCATGTTTCCTTTTTCTCCCACCCCCCATTTACTTTTGACTTTCTACTCTTTTGTAGACACATACACACATCAAACCTCTGAAAGTATATGCTCTGCTTATATTTTGATTTTCCTCTCCACTCTAACCTAGATCCACGGGAGGTAGGAACTTCCTATCTCATTTACAGACCTATCCCCAGGGCTAGGAAGAGCAAACAGAACCGAGTCCGATATTTGTTTTATGAGTGCACTCCTTCATTCATGACTCTAGAATTTTCTGGGGAATCTTGGGGCTGAATCATAATCACCCCTCTTGGGAACTAACTAAGAATTGTATGGGTCAGTCACTTTCTGTCCAGTTTCATAGAATTGAGGACATTTGGGGCTCAAAAAAAAAAGACACAGATTTTACCTATTAAACACCTTCATTTTGCTAACACACACACACACACACACACACACATGGCCTGAGGTTGTTAAAACATTCTGGGGAATCTTGGGGCTGAATCATAATCACCCCTCTTGGGAACTAACTAAGAATTGTATAGGTCAGTCACTTTCTGTCCAGTTTCATAGAATTGAGGACATTTGGGGCTCAAAAAAAAAAAGACACAGATTTTACCTATTAAACACCTTCATTTTGCTAACACACACACACACACACACACACACACATGGCCTGAGGTTGTTAAAACATTTGCCTAACATTATAAAGCTAAATTATCAGTAGAAGCATGTGTGTTGAATATGCATGAGTTTGGAGAGAGTGAGGGGCTCTTACCTTGGCTGTGAGCCGCTCTTTTATATCCACAGTGTAGCCCAGACCCTCAAGCAGCCCCTTCATGCCTGCAAGGTCAAGATCAGCCCCTTCCCTCAAAGGAAGATGTTCAAACTCTGTATTGCATACGATGAGAGCCAGGCGAGTGCGATTCTGTTTGTCCTTTATTGGATAGATCTGCAGAAAACAGATATGCAGTAAGTTAAGTTACCTGAGCCTCTTTTAAATCCCCATATGCCCACCAGTGTTGCTTTATTAAGGCCTCATAAGATGTCCCTCTTCCCTAACCTCTACAGAAGACACCACTTTCCCCTCTCTCAAGAGCCCAGAGCAAGAACTACAACATATCTGGAATGACTACTTAAGAATCTTGAGGAAACTAGAATAGTTCCTACCCTCTACTTCTCCCTTTTTTTCTCCACCCAGTCAAATTTTTCTTAGCATTCAAGGTTCAGTTAAAATTTCATAAAAACCAAGAGATACTTGTCATTGGCTCCAGTAAAAATGAATCACCAAAGTCCCTTTGTCTTTGGTATCATTTTTATTTTGATACTATTTTAAACACATCAACTTACAATGCTTTGCAAGCTTTAATTATATTTTTAAATATGCTTCATGTCTAGGCTTTTAGAATGTAGTACAAACAATTACTCTTCAGCCATTTTATAAATATTTTCATTCTATAACTACAGCTGAAATTCTCATAAATACCAAATAGATATAAGAATAAATAAATGAAAAAATACGAGGAATCTGCATTTTTTCAAGATCTTGAAAGAGTATTGCAATCTGTGTGAAGCCACATGATCTCCCTCTTGCTCAAAGCACTTATGAAAAAGGTTACCACCTTTCCCAGCCCCTACACTTAGTGCTTTAAGAAATGTTGTATTTAGTGAAAGCAATTGTTTCTCTCTCTTTCTCTGTTTCATGCGTAGAGCACAGTACCTTTCCAGCCTTTTCTTTACATATTTTCAGGAATGTTTCATGAGGACAATGCTTAAGGGTATCTGTGTATTCTTCTGACTTAGGTGGATGAGCCTCATTCTCCAGAGGAGCTGCAGGATACATGACATAAGTTAAGATTTCTGCCTCTGTGATATAATTCATCACCTAAGAAGATTGGGAAAGGGAAATCCTGTGAAGAAGTTTCCTTAACACAGAGGTGTTGTAGTTGTATCTAACATCTAGTATAAGGAGATGTATTGTTACTGGGAAAGAAGAGAGAGGTCCTTGGTGGAGAAAACAGATCCACCCAAAAGCGCAATAATAGATTCCGATAATTCTGGGGAAAACACCTCAGTGATTTGGGGTCAAATGTGGCCTTTCCATATTCAGCAAAAACAGTTTGATATTATTAGTGGTTTTACTCTAGGATATTCACTCATCCCTGAGGACTTTCTATTGTTTCTGAACAAGAGTATATTGAGTACATACTTATTCGAGTGCTATCCACTAGAAATATAATCTGAGTTGCATGTGCAATTTTAAATTTTCTAGTATCCACATTAAACAAGTAAAAATCAACATGTGAAATTAATTTTAGTAATAAATTTTATTTAACATAATATATCCCAAATATTATCATCTCAACATGTGCTACTAGCCATAATTCAAATACTTAATAGCCACATGTGGCTAGTGGCTAGAGGCTAGCATATTGGACGGTACAACATCCCATTTTGGAGTGAAAATGCCCTCCTAACTCACACAACACATACAGACACATACGCCCACCAAACACATAGAATCTTGAATCCTATACCATCCAGGAGTTATTTTTTCAGCATCATCAGCCTGAAATCTTAACCTTTCTGGAGGAAATGGGCTTCAGTTATCCCTCACCAAATAGTAAAGTCAGCCATTTAAAGGAGAAATGCTGGCTAGAAAGAATAGTGCTGTATCCATGGTCAAAGGAATTTTTTTTTTTTTTGTCAGATTCTGATATGACTCTAGGTGTCTTGCCCCCACAATGCTGATCAACCACTAGTAAGTTTTGCAACTCATGTTTTACTATGCAAGAATGTAACTAATTTGTCCTTTTGAAGAAGCTTGTTTCTGAGTCATTCTAATCTATCCCCTAGAGAAATGTAATATAATCTGATGTTGCTTGACCTCTTTCGACTGAGATTGTGCAAGAGACTGGGAAATTCCAGAGCCCTCCTTTGAAGGAGAAAGGAAGAGGAATTCATAACCAGAAATTAGAAGAGAAGTTTACGATGATCTAATGTAACAAGGTTTCTATCCATAAATGGAATGAACAGCTGTGTTATTTCTGTTCAGTTACATGAGCTAACCAAGAGATTCTCTGAATTTATTATATTTAAAGGAGAAATGTAATAGGATCCTGTATGTATTTTCTAGTTTTGTATTTTATACACACACACACACACACACACACACACACAGTTTTGTATTTTATACACACACACACACACACACACACACACACATATATTATTTTACTCATTTTTTTCAATTGGCTTTTTAAATAATATTTTTAAGCAAATGTCTTTCTAAAAAGTATGATAAATGCCTAAGCTCTGGAGAGGAAGCAAGTTTTATGGGTATGTAAGAATACCAAATATTCTGAGCATTTCTCTTTTAAAGATTAAATAGTGCAACATGCTCTCCCTTCCCGTTTCAGAAAATTCTGACAAAGTGAAGATGTCCATGGTCCCGTGATGATTCCTGGTCAGAGAATATGGTTTTTCATTTAGATTTTTCTGTTTCCAGTCTATTCACAGGTTTAAAGAACTTTTTAACTTAATAATCATCTCCTAATGAGTATTATGTGTCTTTGTATAGACACATTGTTTTCAGACAAAATTAGGAATTAGAATTTCTGTCTTACATCCAACAGTAAAATTTGCATGACAACAGACCCTTTCATTACAAAGTAGTAAATATTATAGTGTATTCTGCCGCCATGCTCCCAAGCGGTGCACTGTAGCAGTGCACCACTGGGCCGGCCCTCAGGAAGCTTTTAGATTCCTTATTTGAGGGTCTATACCTGTCATCTTTCTACCACAGACTCTCCTGATCACATAGGTTATTTTAGTTTATAGTTTAATGTTCATTGTGATTCTCAGGTATGCTAAAATTATTTTGAAGCCTCTGTTACTCCAATTTTGATTCCCATTTGCTTCATCAACTTTGATTTTGTAAAATTGAAATTGTTCCCATGCCATCCCAGATTTGAAAAAAAGCAATAAATCTGCAAATGGACCAGTTTAAGTATTAATGAGAATGCAACCTACACTACAGTTTTGAACACACTACAGACTAGCATGTGCTTCCTACAGGTAGGAACATGTCTTCTCCACAGAGAAGGACTTATTGAAAAAGCTCATTTGATATATAATGAGGTTTCAACAATTTATGTTGCCTTTTGTTCCTTGTCATTTATCATTGTTGGTGAACTCTAGTATTTCATGGCTGAAGATTTCAGTTTAAACTCTGTGGTAAGTTGAGTCTGTCACTGGGGATCTTGGGTCTGAGAACAATTAGGCTTTAATAATACTCATAATTTAATCTGGGTCAAAAGTCTTGAAAGATTATAAAATTTTAGACATTTTATAGAGGTTCTCCTGATCAAATTTTTGTAACTCACAGAAATGGATAAGCACTGAAAAAGCCTAAATCTTAGCACCCACATAATAATTACAATAACTAATATTTATTGCATGCATATCCTTCATTTGTTTATTCATCTTATATTAATTAGTTATATGCTGTGTGCCAGGCATGCTATTAATTGCCATTATTCGTTGGTGAAGAAATCAGTTATGTTCTGGTGGAAGAAACTTGGTAGATGTTAGTCCTGTTTACTGAGAGGGAAAGGGGTTAGTTAGTGGAACAGATTTGGTTGGGGAAACAAGTGTTTAATTTGAGATGTGTTTGTTTTATGAAGCCAGTGGAACATTTGAGCAGAAGTGCTGAATATGTAGCTAGAGCTAAATTAGTCTGGAGCTCAGAGGAGAGAGTTCTGGATAAAAGCTAATAGCGTGGGAGTTTTTAGCATGTGCCTGGCATTGCTATGTTCCCAGCCTTACAAAATCTTGTGAGGAAGTACTGACATTGTCCCCATTTCACAGGTTCTAAGACTGATAACCACAGAGGTTAAGAAACGTACATGAAGTCACATAGTTCACAAGGTGACAGAATCTAGGTTAGGATTTAGGTATCTTTACTACAAAGTTTCTATGATTAACAATTTCTGTGAACAGCCTAAACAAAAGGACTCGGCTTTTTAGGTAATTGGAAATTGGATACCACCCCACAAAAGGCAAGGTGGCCTCTAAAAGAACAATGGTAAGTTTAGTGAAAATGGTAGTTAGTAATGAAAGGACAGGAGGATGATAGAGGTCAGTGAATGGGCATTGGAGTTGAATAGACTGAAAAATTTTGGATATCTATTGTAAATGATTCCAGTCTTACCTTGTATATTGGTGGGTGTTTGGTTTGTGTTAAGGAGGGTTTGGATAAGCACTTCACCTGCCTTATGGCGGTTCTGTAGCACAGAGTCCATCAAGATCCTGGCCTTCTTTTCAGCTTTGGCATTACTAAAGTTTTCCTGTGCCTCTTCATCCAATTTCACCACTTGTTTTTCCACCAAGTTATCCAAAAAGCCATTGAGGAAATCTTTGCCAATGGATTCCAAAATCTTGGATGGTTTTTGATTCTGGCTCTCTTCTGTAGGAAATAGAAAGATTCCTTCAACTGTGGGCACAGCTTAAAGAGTTTGCCCTTAACTTTAAACTAGCTCTCTGTAATGTGAAATACACCCCCCCCAATACATTCTCTTTTACCATCTCCCCAGCAAACTATGCACCTCTTTCATTGTACCTGGAGAATTCCCTCACCACCTCAAATTCATATCATGCTATCTTTCATGATTCATTGCCACTTCTCATCTCTCTTCTGTGGCATTGAGCCTAATGCTAACTTCCTGGTCATCCACTGTTTTTATATTTCTCTTTCTTCTGCTTGTAGCCCATGTTGCTGACAATTCACCGGGAATGTGAGCTGAGGAAAGTCCATGCTCTTTTCCTCCCACCAGATTGTAGATTTTCCTCTCCTCTGTATTTAGTTTTGATGATGGAAGCACTATGTCCTTGAATCCACATCTTTTTACATACATCTTATATCCATATCTTTGTGCTTAAAATGCTCGAAAGTACATAACTTGCTGGCTGAATACATGAGTTAATAAATAAATAAATGAGCACATCTAGGGTTCTAATTTTTTAAGATCTTATTCTAAATCATGATTCAGAATTGAAAATCATTGGATGACTCCAGTATGGTAGATTAACTTAGCTCTGAATTAGTGTTTTATTCCTTTGGTTAACTTGAATTTTACAGGGGAATATAAATATCAAAGTAATAAATAGTTTATTTTAATACTACAGATATGATTTAGGCAGGTAGTATATGAGAAGGCAGGATATCTCATCAATTCTCAAAGATAGCTATCCAGTTCATCTAGATGTAAGGATAGCTTTGACATAAAATGACATTTTCTAAAAAAAATATTCCAGAACATTAAATAAGGACTTTGGTCTAGAAGCACCAGCCTAACTGTTAATGTTATTTTGAATTAGTATTTCAATAAGTGTTCATTGGGCAACTATTATAAGAAAGACAAGTGGAAATTACAGAATAAATAAAAAATTAGTTAATATCAATTAACTTAATAAAAGGTAACATCTGTGTACTTATAATGACTGAAAAAGAAATACATATAAAGAAATGTAAATCATCATTATAATTATCATAATTATTACAAGTCTCTATACTAAGCACTTTACAAATATTAATATAGTGTTAGTGAACCCTCACAATAAGCCAGTGAGATAGCTCTTATTTTCCCTATTTTTCAGGTCATATAAATAATAACTTATCCCAAATCACACACATTAGGATTCAGATATTGTTTTTGCACCATATCCTACATAGTTAACCGTGACACAGCTTCAATAATACTAATTAATATTCGTTGAGCCCCCACTGAGTCATGTGCTTTGCATGAATCTTCTCACTAAAATTTCACAAAATCTCCCTGGAAAGGGAACATACTCAGAGAAGTGAGTTAAGTAGATTATCCAAATTGTGTGAAAAGAACTGACACAGCTTCAATAATACTAATTAATATTCGTTGAGCCCCCACTGAGTCATGTGCTTTGCGTGAATCTTCTCACTAAAATCTCACAAAATCTCCCTGGAAAGGGAACATACTCAGAGAAGTGAGTTAAGTAGATTATCCAAATTGTGTGAAAAGAATGCAGAGTGTGTCATAACTGGGGAGTAGGAATTGAAACCCAGTGGTTCAGAATTTAGAGCCTTCATTCTTAAATCATCAAATTGCATTACATGACATTTAGTGAAGAGCTACTCAAAAGAATACAAACAAGGTGCTTAAGGGACACAGAAAAGATGAGTAAATTCCAGAAGGTGAGGTCACAAAGGCTTATTTCAAAAGGTGGCAGAGAAACTAGTCTTGAAATACAGTGCACAGATGTTGGAACAGAATTTGAAGACTTGAAAACATCACATAGGTTAGTGTATGGAATATCCACTCTGGCTGAGTTCTGGGCTTTTGTTTTATTTACTTGTGCACTCAACAAACTAGTAGAGTGTTGACTGAATGAATGATATGTGGAGAAATCTGTTAAGCAATAAAACTAAAGAGGTTTATAGCACAAAGAAGGCTGTGTATGACAAACCCACAGCTAACATCATTCACAATGGTGAACAGTTGAAAGCTTTTTCTCTAAGACCAGTAACAAAACAAAGATACCCACTCTTGTCACTTCTATTCAGCATAATACTGGATTTCTAGGGAAAAAAACAATTAGGAAAAGAAGAAGATAAAGAAGAAGGGTGAGGATTAGGAGAAGGAAGAGGATGAAGAAGAAAAAGAAGGCATTAAAATTGGAAAGAAAGAAGTTAAATTGTCCCTGTTTGCCAATGAAATACTTATATATAGAAAAAGCTTTAAAGACACCACCTGAAAACTTTTAGAACTAATAAACAAATTTAGTAGAGTTGTAGAATACAAAATCAACATACAGAAATCAGTAGCATTTCTATATAACAACAATCAGAAAAAAATTAAGAAAATCCCATTTAAAATAGCAACCCCCCCCAAAAAAAAAAAACCTTAGGAAAAAATTTAATCAAGGAGGTTAAAAACCAGTACACTGAAAATTATTAAGTGTTAATGAAAGAAATTGAAGAAGATACACATAAATGAAAAGATATTTGTGCTCGTGAATTAGAAGAATTCATATTGTTAAAATGTATATAATATCCAAAGGGGTTTACAGGTTCAGTGCAATCCCTTTCAAAATTCTAATGACATTTTTTACAGAAATGAAACAAACAATTTTGAAATTCATATGGAATCACAAAGAAAAAGTCAAATTGCCAAAGCAATCTTGAGCATAGGAAAGAAACCTGGAGGTATCACATTACTTGACTTCAAAATATACTTCAAAGCTATAGTAATCAAAACAGCATGGTACTGGCATAAAAACAGACACATAGACTAATGGAAATGGATAGAAAGTCCAGAAATAAACTCAAGTATTTGTGGCCAATTGATTTTCACCAAAGATGTCAAGAACATACAATGGGGAAAAGGACAGTATCTTCAATAAATAATGTTAGGGAAAACTGGATATCCACATGCAGAAGAATGAAATAAGACCCTTATCTGTCACCATGCACAAAACAGAAATCAACTCAAAGTTGGTTAATGAGTTAACTGTAAGACTTGACACTGTGAAGCTACTGGAAGAAAACATAAGGTGAGAGCTCCATGATGACATTGGTTTAGGCAATAATTTTTTGGATATGACCCCAAAAAGCACAGGCAAAAAAAGTAAAAATAAACAGATGGGATTACATTAAACTAAAAAGCTTTTGCACAGCAAAGAAAACAATCAACAGAGTGAAGAGATAACTATGGAACAAGAGAAAAATATTTACAAGCTATATATCTAATAAGAGGTTAATATCCAAAATATATAAGGAGCTCAATTTATTAGGAAGAAAACAAATGAACTGATTAAAAAATGGGCAAAGGACCTGAATATATATTTTTCAAAGACATACAAATGAAGACAGGAATATGACAAAGTGCTCAATATGTCTAATCATCAGCAAAATGAAAGTAAAAATCACAGTGAGATATCACCTCACACCTGTTGTCAAAAGACAAAATATAGCCAATGATGGATAGCATATGGAGAAAAGGGAACCCTTGCACACTGTCGATGAGAATGTAAATTAGACCCGCCATTGTTGAAAACATTATAGAGATTCCTCAAAAAATTAAAAAATCGGTCCAGCAATTCCACTATTGGATATATATCCAAAGGACATAAAATCAGTATGTTAAAGAAATATCTGAATTTGCACATACATTGCAGTATTATTCACAATAACAAAAATGTGTAAATATCCATGGATGGATGAATGGGTACAGAAAATGTGGGTACACACACAATGGAGTACTATTCAGCCTTTACAAGATGAAATCCTGTCATTTGTGATAACATGGATGACACTGGAAGACATTATGTTAAGTGAAATAAGCCATGCACCAAAAGACAAATACCATGTGATCTCACTTATATGTGCAATCTAAAAAAGTTCAACTCACAGAAGCAGAGAGTAGAATGGTGGTTACTAGGGGCTGGAAGTGGGCAGGTGGGGAGTTTGGGGAGATGTTGGTCAAAGTAAACATAATTTCAGCGAGATAGGAGGAATAGTTCCAGAGATCTATTGTATAGCATGGTGACTATAGTGGGCTGGAAGTGGGCAGGTGGGGAGTTTGGGGAGATGTTGGTCAAAGTAAACATAATTTCAGTGAGATAGGAGGAATAGTTCCAGAGATCTATTGTATAGCATGGTGACTATAGTTAATAATGATGTATTGTGTTCTTCAGAATTTCAAGAGAGTAAATTTTAAGTGTTCTCACCACAAAAATTGATATGCATCTGAGGTAATTCACATGTTAATTAGCTTAATTTAGGCATTCCACAATGCATACATATTTCCAAACATCATGCTATATACCACAAATATGAGAATATATAATTATTACTTGCCAATTAAAAAAATAAATAAGTAAATTGTAATGAAAATCAACCAAAGAGGTTTGTCCTGAGGTCCTCTGTTCGTAATCTATACATTTTCATGGCATCAATTATAAGCTTTAAATAATAAATAAATGACTCTCAAATTTATAGATTCAGCCTAGATGTAGATCCCAGTATGGAGACCCATATTTCCAACAGACAATGACATTTCTTCTCCATATCCCACAAACTCATTAAATTCAAAGTTTAAAGCTGAACTGCTCATTTTTCAGTTCCCTCCCTCATCCTCTGTACTAGTGAAGGATATTTAACCTCCAGGTACAAGAAAGCAGCAAAACCTGATAATATTAAACCTCTTCTGTCTCAAACTGTATTGATTTTATCTGTTAAATTTTTGCAGAATCTTATCACTTCTCTCAATTTCAGCTGTTTATTACTCCTGTTTAGGCCAACATTCTTCCTTTCTGAATTTTTCCAAGAAATTTATAAATCTACTCTTGTACCCTTTCTCTTTATTCTTCATAGCAAAGCAGAATGTGTGTTCCAATAACTAGATTTCAACATGGCTGTCATCTTAATCTAATCTGGGGCTTCTCATTTAGTCTCATCTAACACTGTCCCTCCACCCCCTTGCTCATTGTATTTTAAACATTCTGTCCTTCCAGTTTCTGGAAAGCACTCACTTAGGGATCTCTATGTTTTTATTCCTGGGTCTCCTAATTCCTTCCTGTCCCCCACTGCTCTCTATTTATCCACCACGGTCTATTTATCTGCTTATCTGTTTAATCTGTTTATTCTCCACGATCAGATGACATTTTCTTCAGAAAATCCTCCTTGATGCTGCCAGGCTAGACAGAAGTATGTGCTCCTAGGGCACCTTGTTTCTTTCTGGGCTGGCATTTTTTTCCGTGTAATTGTGATTCTCAGCCTTCTCAGTATCGCAGTTAGATTCTATGCTCTGTGAGTCTGGGGGCCATAAACTAGGCCTGCACTATTTCTGGCATTCAAGGGGTATTCAATAATTATCTACTGAATCACTAGTCAAATGAGCAAACATCGGAACAAATAAATAAAATGTAGGCAAAGCCCAACTCTTAAAGAATATATAATACCAAGCCACCTAAGTAAGTTTGATTTTATTTAACAGGCAATAAGAACACATTAAAAGTTTTCAAGCAGAGGCAAGGCATGTTCATTCTCCCATTCCATTCAGGAATATTTACTGAGCATCAGTTTGTAAAAAATACTCTGCTAGCATTGGGGGTACCATTTTAGAAAGATATTCCTAGACATTGAAGCTTACAGTCAAATGGAGAGATAGATATGCAAAATATAAAGCACCATAATAATTTAAATAATGGGCACATGCATAAGAAAAACATAAGGAATGCACACCTTGGATAGATAATGGGTCCCAGAGAATGAGATGCTTAGAACTGAGACCTGAAAGGTAAGTAGTGTCTGTGCCTTGGGCAAGCTGGGGACTAGTCTCCTGGCAGGCGGCAGTGTGGGCAGAAGTGGAAAGGCTTGAGGGTGCCTGATAGAGTCAGGAAGCTGGGAGAACTGGGCTTTAGATAGTATACTACTGAAAGCAGAAGTGAACATGAGGGACTGAAGTGGGAGTGATTAAAGACAAGGTAGCAGCTATTTGAAGATTTTTTGCAGAAAATAGAGGTAGTGGCAGGGTCTTGAGTTTGAGAGTCAAGCCAACCTGTAATCAACTGCTCACAGACATTTGACCTAAGGCAAATTACATTACCTCTCTCTAAGTACCTTCTTTATCTATAAAATGGCAATAATAGCACAAACCTAATTGGGTAGTTTTAAATATTCAATCAGAGAGAGTATGTGAAATAGCTGTAATATGGTAGGAGTTTTCAAAAAAAGAAAAGAAAAGAAAACAGTTGTTATGGGTTATTTTTTTGTTGTCATAAACACTGAATTCATGTTGCAGTGATAATAAAAAGGGAGGGAATAATTTAGAGGACAAAACTCATCAAGACCACAGCTTAGGTCCCAGGCAAATTGATGTAATGATCTAGCACATTATAGGACACTATTCTTCAGGAGCTTTAGTTAACAATAGCCAACCAAACTTGGTTTATATGTATTGAGCCACTTTACTCATTTTTGTCTAGTGCCTTTCAATTTCTCACATCTATTATCTAGTGATCCCCTGATGCCAATCCAATAACCAGTAAAATCGGTTTGCCTGACCAAAGAGGAAGCTATGGGTGTGCATCAGACTTACTACTTCCCAGCCAAATGGTTTATTAGTGTCATGAGGAAGACAAAAAAAGAAAACAATCAATCCCTGCATTTTAGAAGCTTACATTAAGTGTTGTGAGGTGAGACATAAACTTTGGAAAGAATTATACTACAGGGAAAATTAAAGGAGTAAAGAAACGTGATAGCAAGAGTATGACTGGGGTAAATACAGTAAATATATACTATTTTTATGAAGCTGAATTCATGCTTCAGAGGAATTAATGAAAAAAATGAATAAATATACAGTTGTCCCTTGTGTCTGCACGGCATTGGTTACAGAACCTCCTGTGGATACCCAAATCTGCAATGCTCAAATCCCTGAAATAAAATTGTGTGGTATTTGCATATAACTTATGCAAATCTTCCTGTATACTTTCCATCATCTCTAGATTTCTTATAACACCTAATACAATGTAAGTGTTATTAAATAGTTGTACTGTATTGTTTAGGGAATAATGGCAAGAAAAAAAGTTTGTACATGTTCAATGCAGATGCAATTTAAAAAAAATATATACTCGGGCTGTGCTCAGTTGAATCCATGGATACAGAACTCACTGATACTGAGGGCCGACTGTATTTTGAAAGGTAGGCAAGCCTGTCAGAAAAGTTTAAACATTTTTTAAAAAGGCAATAGGGAGCCATTATATGTTCCTGAGTAAGAGCATTGCATTAAGAGATAGGTATCTACCTATTAGAACTATTAGAACATGAGAACTGAGAGTTAACTAACTGATCTTTTCTAATAATGCTAATCTGCAGACAAACCTATGCCAGGCCAGCTACATAACAATTATCTGTAGATCTTTAAACAATTATAAATGTCTATAGTTTATTTAAGATTAAGTGTTTCAAGATCAGGGATGGGGTAGTAATCTGAATTTTAAGAAAATGACTACTGTATATTTAGATATAAGGTTTAGAAACCACTGATCTAGTGCAACCTATTCCTTTTCAAATAAGAAGAAAAAAGACAAAGTGATACGTGTTTGAATACTAGCTGCCAATATAGTTAATGACTCCATCTTTTCTGCTTTTTCTGCTTCCATGTATAAAGCAGGTGACCTGAAAGTAGCACACAGGATGGATTGGAGGCTCAAGTCCTGGAGAGAAAGACCAGTTAAAAAACTGTGATAGCAATCTAAGAAATATCGTGTTAGAGTAGTTAGTACCAGGATTAGAAAGAAAGGGGAAAAAATGGAGTCATTTTAAACAGACAGGGAATGTCATTGAATATAAACCAGTGGGAACTCAGAGGCTCTCAGATCGAATTCTGGGAATAACGTTTGTAACCTGGATGACTAATTTAGAATTAACAGGAAGCAGACAA